AGTCTCCCTCAAGGTTCAATGGAAACTCGAGACGGTCGTGCTGTGCCGTGCCACCAGATCCTCGTCCAGGGCAAGATCGTTCATTCTCCCGCTTCAGGATTTGAGAGTTCTTCTTGTCTTAAAAATTCGCTGCATGCATACAAATCGAAGCTACACACATCAATGTGAAATTGTAGTGATAAACCTGGGGAAGTAAATTGTGAATTTTCATTTTGGACATTGGTCTCAAGTTCTCTACTGGATGAATGTATTTAAACTAAGTCGTTTTACTATCTTCCAGTTCACCTAGTTAACTCTAGCCTCTTGCTTTATCTCTCTTCCCTCACTCTCCCCATTAAACTCAAGTAATTCTAGTTGTGCTTACGATGAGGCTTACATCAAAAGCAGCATATACAAATGTGTGTTAAGACATAACAAGGATTACTGTGTTAGGCAGTATAAATGGCTGCTTGGCACCCACAATGAAAATACATAATCCATGTATGTGGACATCATTGCTACCCGGAGACATTTACCTTTGGAGTAATTTTGCATAAAGTAACCATAATGACCTCTCAAGTTTGACATAAAAAAAATCCACTGCATGAATGTACACGTTTCCATGGAAAAGACATTTTGTATGATCTGTATTTGATGTATTTGTCGCCTACGTGGGGTGCTGCCTTCTTGTTAAAATGGCTGTTAGGCCTATATTAAGTGCCAGGTACTGGCCTAAGGGCTGGAGGTGTATGAGCACACGCCATCCCCACGACAACCCTGAGGTGGGAATAGTATCAGGCCTGTTATGCGAACTAAGGAGCCCTAGCCATGAAGGGGTGACATTCACGGGCTGCTAACCGAAAGGTCAACTCCCTTTGTTAACCTCCTCAGTATTCTCCCAGGAGCTTAGGCGGTGCAGTGGTTACGTGTTGGGCTGCTAACCACAATGGTGGCAGTTCGAAACCCCCAGCCTCTCTGATGGAGAGAGATGGGACTTTCTACTCCCAGAAAGACTTTCACCATCTTGGGAACTTACAGGGACAGTTCTGCCCTGTCCTGTAGGCTCTTTATGGGCCAGAATGGACTAGGTGGCAGTGAGTTGGGTCTGGCTTTTATTATGCTAACTGGCAAATAGGCACGGGGAGGCTCAGTCATTTGCTCAAGGTTACACAGCTCGTGTATTAATGCTGGGTTAGAACTCAAGAAGGCTGAATTCTGTTCACCCTTGGACTGTATTCTCATTAATTTGTAGCTCAAAACCATTTCTGCACTTATATTTGCAATGGTTGCCTCAATAGAGCTAGTAAATCGTTCATTTTTTTAAAAATGTTTTAATTTAACAGATTTTTAACTGAGTTCTTATTACATGCTCAAAGCTATGTAGCAATATTTTCCAGAGTGGGATTAGGGTTAGCGCAGAGTTGATATCACTTTGTAGCTCATAGGTAAGAGAAATTCTCTCAGGCACCTGCATTTTTCATGATAGTGTAGATATATTATAATGTAATACTATAATGCATTCTATGTGAATGATAGCATATACAGAAATGTTATGTTCTATATAATTTATTTTACAATATAATAACATAATCACTATCTTCGTAATATTCTCCCTAAGGCGTTAGAATTGGATTGGCACGCATACTTCCCAACCAAGTTTAAAGGTTAAATTATTCTCTTTCCTTTTAGAATATCCTCACAAGTTCCGTTTTAATGACGCCAGTATCAGAAGATGAAGACAATGTTCTCAAAGCGTTTACAGCCCCTAAAAATAGGTCCCTGGCAAGTCCCTTGCAGGTAATTTTTATCCTGATTGTTTTTTTGTTTTTTTTTAGAATTCACTCTTTGAAGAACGGGCCATCTGGAGGGTTTTTGGTTTTTGCATTCTAGACATAAGGGAGTGATGCTTTTAAAGTAACTTCTTGATGCCTGAACTCTACAAGTGTCTTGTTGCTAGCCTATGAGACACGTTGGAGAGTTTTATTGTTTTATTCCAACTCATGTTAAATGGAAACATCTCAGAGGATGACTGAGACTAAGATCATGCGTTACCTGTGTGCCAATGCTTCTTGCCTCTGCATTTAAATACCATGTAAATGTATGCTTCTGTACTTTCCTTCTTGTTCCCATACTTTAATTTTTTTTTACTATCACTAGATCATCAAAGCTCAGATGTGATTTAATTTTTTAAAATAAGATTGAAATTCATTAGATGGAAAATACTTATTTGACTATTAGCAACCTGAGGCAGTGCAAATGGTTACATGTCTTTGGCTGCTAACCAAAAGGTTGGAGGTTCAAATCCACCCTGAGATACCTCAGAAGAAAGGCCTGGCAATCTGCTCCCTAAAAAGCAGTCATTGAAAACCCTGCGCAGCCACGGAAGAAGCACACTAGCCATGTGGGCCATTAATACAACCCTGTCCCAACGACTGCGCATAATAAAATCCAAGATCCAGTCCGCGTGTGCTTTTTTCCCCTTTTTTTTTAAACAATCCTTCTCCCAGGATTGTAAATAATAAAATCCAAGGAGGGAAAAGTAGTAGAGCTTGAATTCAGAGCACCTGGGTTGTAGAAGGCTATCGATGACACTGAAAGCCCCACATCCGTTCTTAGCATCCCCACATGGATTAAGCCTCTGGAGAATCCCCTCGGACTATTGCCTAGGGGAGTGAATAGGCTTGCCCTCAGACAAAGTATATTGGAAAGTGGATTAATGCAGATGTAGTTAGGTTAGATTTTAATATATTCTCGTTTATTTTCCCTTTTGACTTATTTTTCATTCTGGTTTCTATCCTCTTCTGCTTTCACGTGGATTGTTTTTCTGTGTTCTGTTTTGATATCGTTGTTAAGTTATTATTTTTTGTATGATTTTCTTTATATGAAATCCAGGATAAGTAAATCTATAGAGACAGCAATTAGACTCATTCCTTAGGGTTATAGCAGGGGAGATTGGGGGGTACAAGAGTCAAGAAAATGTTCTAAAATTAACTGTGGTAATGAGTGCACAACTCATAAATATATTAAAACCATTGAATCATTTAAAAAAAAGAAGAAGAAGAAGAAGAAGAAGCAAAGTAAGAAGCCCTGTGTCTGGAGTCAGTTTCACTCTGACACACCTGGGGTCACCCTCAGTCGGCGGCAAGAAGACCTGGATTTGACTATCAGGAGGGGAACGCTCTTGTTGCATGCATAATCTCAGCCCACCATCTGCTGCCAGGTTTTAATATCAAAGGAGATTTTCCTTGTAACACTGGAGTGGATGTAGGCTGATGAAATGCAACAAAGTTCAGATCAATCCTGAGCCAAATGTAAATAAGAATGTAAATTTGCTCTTCCAAATTATTTAAAGCAGTCCCTAGGAGTAAATAGCCCAATACCCAGCCACCTGCACACCGCTCCCTTCCAGGGCTGTACTGAAGAAAGCATAGCAGACCCCGGAGCAAGCAGATAGTGCACCTGGGAAAGTTCTCAGAAGTGGGGAATTCTATTTGATTCTGTAAGTGTCATTCTAGCAGCCCTGGTCCTTTCCAATTGTGGGAATCTTGCAAGTTCCTCTTTTCTAAAACCCCACGGCATGGTATACACCGAACACCAGCCCTCGCCATTGAGTTCGTCTCAATCCACAGTGACTCCACAGGAGAGCCCTGGGCTTCCAAGGCTGTGCATCGTCATGGAAGCCGACGGTTGCCTCTTTCTCCTCTAGAGTGGAAGGCATCGCCAGCCTTTCTGTGAACATGCAAGCCCGTGGCCAGTGCACCACCAGGGCTCCTCATAGTGCCTAGACTTAGTACTATGTTAAGGTAAGACAAGCAGAGTGGAAGGCCTGAGGGCATATTTTGTTTAGGAATCCAATCAGATTGCCTTCCTAGTTGCCTCTGTGTGATTCAGCTGTTTGGGAAAAGGATGGTGGGTCCCTGGCCTGAGGACTGGGGCACCGAGTGCTTTGAAGGGACTCGGGCAGGTTACTGAAGCATTCAGGCTCAGGTAGAGCTTGCTGGAGCCCGCTCAGAATATCACAAAGATGGGGAAGATGAGGAAGAGACAGCACTCTGCCAAGGCATAAGGGGAGAGGAGGGTGTTCAAGCAAAGGGCAGCGTTTTAACGTCTTACATCGAGGGGCCCGAGGCCCCAAGGGAAACCTTTGCTTCGTTTTCCTTTCCTTCTTCCTTCCTGAATCACCTGGCTCTGGTTTCCAGAACATAGAATTTAACAAGTACTAACTAGTAGTACCAGTACTTTGAGGAGCGCTGGTGGAACTGTGGGTTAAGCAACAGGCTACTCACCTTAAGGTCAGCAGTTCAAACCCCTCAGCCTCTCTTCGGGAGAAAGATGAGGCTGTGTGCCCCCATGAAGAGTGACAGCCCCGGAAACTCTAGGGAGCCGTTCTGTTATGCCCTAAGGTCTCTAAGTGTTGGATTGGACTTGATGGCCGTGAGTTTGGAGTTTTTGGTTTTGTCAGTATTTTGGACATGTCTTTGGGTGACTCAATGGTTTTCGCTCTGCTTAGCTAAACACTGGCGGAAGAACAGCCTGGCGATCTGCTATCATAAGGATGACGGCCCTGCCATCCCTCTGGGGCAGCGGTACTCTGTGACAGATGGGGTCCCCGGGAGTCAGACTTCACTCAAGAGCAGAGCCGGTGGTTTGGGGTTCCATCATTACTTTCGAGTCCCTGGATGATACAAATGAGAGGTTGGTGGTTGGGATCCACCGAGAGCCTCCTTAGAAGAAAAGCTAGCAATCTAGTTCTGAAGGTGGAGACATGGGTCTCCTCTGGACCACAGTTCTACTCTGACGCTCCTGGGCCACCCTGAGTTGGATTTGACTTGATGTGAACTGGTTTGATTTTTTGTGTGTATTTTCTTAACAAACTTGGGGCCTTAACCTGTATTTAGAATGGTGTCGGAAGAGGGCATTCTACGTCTATAAGGACAAATATGTGAATCTAGTTTGTAACAGCTCTCATGACATAAATTGAAAGCCACTGATTAGTTTTCTAAAATCAGAGCACAATAGCTTTTGGCCTAATCAAATAATATTAATCCCAAACCACTGAGAGGTGAACACCCTGCTGATATAAAATTCTTCTTATGTAAAGTTTAGTAAGAATGTCAGTATTTATTAAAAACAGGTCATCTTAATTTTAAAGTTGATCGCGCTGTTCCTTTTTAAATTAGTAATATGAAACATTGTTATTCTATGCATATCCACTTCAGTAGAAAGACTATCTTGGAAACTCAAAATGAAATAATAGGTCTAGTTAAATAGTAGTTCACAGTGGGTTGCACAAGACCTCCAGCAGCAGCAGCAGCAGCAGCAGCAGCAGCAGCAGCAGCAGCAGCAGCAGCAACTCCTCGGAGAAAGATGAGGCTTTCTACTCCCGTAAATTGTTAGTCTCGGAAACCCAAAGGGCCAGTTCTCCTGTATCCCACGGGGTCACTGGGAGTCAGAACTGACTGGATGGCGGCGAGGGTGGTTTCGGTTTCTGTGCTTTTGCTGCTTTACACAGCTCAAACGTCTTTCACTAGTCTGTTATAAAAGAGGCCTAATGCACTTCAAGAAGACCGCATGAGTGAGTGCATGGTGCGCCCAAATATGGCCTCCTCTGTGACATGGTCTTCTGGTTGCTTAGAAATGTGTGGTTTAGAAATGTTTCAGACTATTATGGTAAATATTGGGAACTCTATCAAGTGATCCTAAATGTGGAATCAGATATTGCATATAATCCTGAATCAATAACATTTATGTGTTTTTATGCAATGTGATACAGTTGTTTGTTGAAAACATAATGAGATTTCAGAGATCTTCATTAATAATCTTATATGACCTAAATTTCTCACACATGGTATTATTTAGCATATTGTTCATTTATTAAATGATCTGGTTTTTCGGTAACCTTCTTATATAATCAGTAACCTTCTGTTCCTATCAGGTATGGACTGAGATTTTAGTCATTCCATCTAGATATTTTTGTCATACAATTTTAATTAAGATAATGAGATACAATCACCAAAAATACGTTTTAAACTGGATACTTATGAAATTTAAAGTATCTACTTTTGTTACCATCCAATTAGTTAAATAAATATGCCTAGATATAAGAACAGTTTCGGCAATAAAATAATGAAGTCATTATATTCTATATGAAACCTGCAGTGACTAAACCATGTTATGTTGCTTTGCCACTTCAGTTTTACTTATCCCTGCCTTAATTATGACAATAATGCTTTAGGCAGACCAATTATTGTTCTTGAGGCCCTTAGAACTCTATGATTTGACTTCTAATGTACGTATAAGTACATAGGCTTACACTTTAGTACGTGTGAGTTATGTTTGGTATTTTCATATCCGAAATGGAGAAGCCATACATTTAATGATTTATTTTTATATGTTTCAAACATATATAGAACTGAAGAAAATATGTCATGCTCTAGATTTGTCATTAACATTTTCCATATCTATCTCATCTATTTTATGAAGTATTTTAAAGCAAATTAAAAATATTTTATTCTTACAGTCTTCTAGGCTATCTCCAAAAATAAGAACATTTTCATATACACAGACATTCCCTTAGCACACACTATTATTAATACTCTTACTCCCAAGACTGAGTTCAAATTTCCCTTTCAATCCAAAAAACGAACTCTTGTTGTTGTGCTTCAGTGAGGTGGAAACAGGGCCGCACATGGCATCAGAAGGCCAGGGCTCTCTGATGTCTCTTTTAAGAGCCAGACCAGTACTGTTCAAGAGGACTTTCTGGAGCCAGAAGTGACCAAACTCACTTTCATCAATTC